TGTGTAATTGGTACCCTTGGAGATGGCTCTCTATAACTAAACAGTGGGAGTGGGCTAGGGTTGATGGAATATTGGCAGAAGGGAGACTGGAAGGAGGCAGAGGAAGAATAAATGGTAAATGATCAATAACCATCCTGACCCCATTTTCTCCTCTCATCCATCACCACTGGCCATCCAGGGTGGGAAAACGGTTTAACCACTGGGGATGGAGCGATAGCACAGCCAGTAGGGTGTTTGCCTTGCGTGCAGCCAAGCCAGGTTCAATTCCCAGCATCCCATATGGTCCCCCGAGCACCACCAGAGGTAATTCCTGAGAGCATGAACCAGGAATAACCCCTGTGCAACGCCGGGTGTGATCCAAAAAGGTAAAGGTAAAGGCCCTCCCGTTGATCGTCGATTTGCTCGAGCGGGCCCAGTAACATCTCCATTGGAGACTTTGTTGTTACTGTGTCTGGCATATCGAATACTCTCGGTAGCTTGCCGGGCTCTCCGAGAGGGGCGGAGGAATCGAACTCGGGTCGGCCATGTTGGCCGCTTGTAAGGCGAACGCCCTACCCGCTGTGCTAAATAAAATATAAAATGAAAAATGAATAAAAATGGTTTAACCACTGAATGAACAGCTCACGGTTCTTTATTTTGTGAACAAACACAACACTTTTTTTCTGAAGAGGGATAATTATTTAAATTGTAAAAAAATAAAATAAAAAAATAAATAAATTGTAATGTCCCACTACAAATTCCATTTTTTCTGTGGCTTATCTCTTTAATAGTCTACAGTGAGTTCAAAGGTAAGAAAGAGATTAATATATTGCAGCAAAACCACATAGAAAGAAACAGAGAGAAAACTGCCTCCTTTTCTTCCACTTTTAATGCACAGCTGTGGCTAGACATCCTGTAGAGCACTCCCTTGCTTTTCATATGGCTTCCCAGATCCCACTAGGAGAGATCCCTGACTGAAGAGCCAGAAGTAATCCCTGAGCATTGCGAGGTGTGGCCCAAATAACAAAATCAAAAAGATACGGATAGAGATGTACAATGTTGACCTGGGTGCAGAATAATAGTGTCAATATCTCTTCTCCACTGTCATCTTACCTCTCTGCTGCCTTTCTCTCTGTCCTTCCTCACTCACTTGATTCTCTAGGAGCCCATGGCTCCATTTCCAGCCAGAATCTAGATCCTGGTAGGGAAGCTTCTGAGGGAAGGACTGCTTCTCCCTCTCTCCCTCTCATTTCTCCTCCTTCAGGAATTCAGACCAATAGATTGATGTCAACATTATTGCTTGGTAATTCTGTTTCACTGCTTTTACCAACAAAACTAGCTATAATTTCTAACGATCAGTGCCTTGAATAAAAGTACTAGAAAAGGAATGATGAAAAAGAAATTTCCCCAAAATTTTACAACAGTTTTATAAGATGTTCAGAATTGGCTTCTCCAGGCTATTTAGAATAGACTTTTCCAGACTGAAGAAATAATACAACAGTTAGGGTGCTTGCTTTTTATGTAGTCAATCAGGGTTTGATCCCTAGCATCTCATATGGTCCCCCAGGCACTGCCAGCATTGCTGGATAACACTCCAAAGTAAAAAAAAAATGAGAACAGAAAAACAGAATATGCTTTCCTAAAAGCATATGGATTATTTTGTGCTAGGGTTAAAGTCCTGTGGCTTTTGATAAATTTTACTACTCCCTTAATTTTCATTAAAATGAAAATAGGGGTTATTACTCATATGTAGTTTTTTTCAAAATTAGAAGAAGTGTTTTTTTAGTGAAGAATCTTATGGATAAAGAAGAGAAAATATGTAATTACAGAGCATCTGATATTTTTCACATGTCCCCCTCTCCTCCCCATATGTGTTCCTCTGCTATCTCCTGTGAAGCCCTAAAGATTCCATCCCATTATTTAGCACAAGTTATACATATGCACTTACTTTGTATCATTAACTTTAGAACATCTATGTACAACTTCCTTATGCTTGAAATGAAATTTTCTATTTTATTAAATTGATTGTTAAGAAGAACCTATTTCTGGGGATAGGGAAAATGACCCTTAGTTTTAAGGGTCATTTGAAGCTCACATTTAGACTGTGTCTCCAGATCAATTTGCACTAGAAGTATACTCCAGTGAAATTTGGGGTTGATTTTTTACTTCTCCCTTATTTTCTAACTCATTCAGGGAGAAAGGATCATGCAAGTAGCAATATGGAAACCAATCTGTGCTTTATTCACAAGTGCCTCCTAATTTCAGATCTGAGATACTAAGGGAATCTCAAAGGCTTGGAAATGTCATAGAGTTAGATGAGACTTGCTGCCTAGTACTCATTATACTAAAGTTGTCACTTTAGGTCAGATTATAGCTCAAGTCACACAACAATTATTTTCAACAAGAGTTGCCATTATCATACATGAAGTTAATTAGAATTAAGTCACCATTGCTGCTTCTACAGTATTTGTGTCATCTTTCCTATTACTAGTAAGATATATTAAACACTAAAACAAACACTATTCTCCCGTTGTTCATCAATTTTCTCGAGCAGGCCCAGTAACGTCTCCATTGTGAGACTTTGTTGTTACTGTGTTTGGCATATCGAATATGTCATGGGTAGCTTGCTAGGTTCTGCCGTGCGGGCGAGATACTCTCGGTATCTTGCCGGGCTCTCCAAGAGGGGCGGAGGAATCAAACCCGGCTCGGCCAGCCTGACTGTGCGCAAGGCAAACGCCCTGCCGCTGCGCTATCGCTCCAGCTCAATAAGATATATTATGTATATTAAATTAAGTAGGAGTTTCTTAAGCTCCAGAATTGCACCTCTCTCTTTTCACAATCCCTCCCAGTATCAGGAGAAAATGTATATCATGTTGGCTATGGAAAACATGCTTATTGAGTAAATAAATGGAGAAAGAGAGAAAGAGAAAGAAAGAGAGAAAGTGCGTGCCGTAGAGGCAAGCTAGAGGTGCGGGGATGGCAGGAGGGATACAGGGGATATTGGTGATGGGAAATTTACACTGGTGGAGGGATGGGTGATGGAATATTATATGACTGAAAATCATGAAAGCTTTATATCTCACGATGACACAGTGATTCAATAAAATTATTATAATAATAATAATTCTTAAAAGCTCACTGAAAGCCAGGGAGGAGAAAAAAACTTTGCTAAAACTGCTATTAGGGAGGGAAAAAAAGCAGAGAAATTGAATAAACTGTTATCTAAAAGTTTAACTAGGATATAAGTCCATAACTGCTTCATAGAATATAAGAAATTGAATGAATATAAAGTCTAGTCAGTATATTTTTTCTAGTTCCTCCCATAATTTTGTCATCTGCCAATTACACATGTTTGAGTCACTTTTAGCAGAATAGACTAGGATTTCAGCCGGGGCCTATTGCTTCCAACAATTTTGAATTCTGAAATTAATTGAGAATGTGAAAGTCCACTATTATTTTCAAATAGCTTCACTACATATAAGAAAGAGGTACGTTACTGGGGCCACTCGAGCAAATCGATGAACAATGATGATGATGATTAGAAGTAAACATTAAGGAAGAAAATAACAAAAATGTGTACAGTGAAATATTCTTTCAGATTATTGTGGGTCAAAATGAATATTCTTCTGAAAGCAGCAATTCAAAATTTTAAGCATGATAGCTTTTTTATCCAGTTATGCCATTTTGAACACTTTGGCTAATTCCATATTTTAGCTATTGTGAGTAATGTTGCAATTAACATATGAGTTCAGATATCTTTTCTGCACTGTGTTTTTGGGTCCAAGGGTTACATATACACAGTGGAATATTATTTAGCCATAAGAAAGGATGAAGTCATACAATTTTCTGATACATGAATAGATCTGGAGCATCATAGTGAAATGAGTCATGAATAGATCTGGAGCATCATAGTGAAATGAGTCAGAGGGAGAGGGACAGAAACAGAGTGATCTCACTCACATCTAGGATGTAAAGAAACATAGTACGGGAATAATACCTACAAGAAATAAAACTAAGATCAGGAGAACTTGTCTATAGTAAGAAGCTTGCTACTGGTCAGGAGCAAAGGGAGATTGTTCAGGGAAGGAACCACTCTGACAGTGATAGAGAACAATGGTTACTGAATGAGTACTGGGCACAAAAAGGAAGTAAAGTTACATGCATGATATCCTACCAGTAACAGTATTGTAAACCACATTTCCTAAAGGGAATATAAAAAAGGAAAAAAGTGCTGCAATAGAGGAAGACCATAGGACAGGAGGGAAACTAGAGACATTGGTGGAGGGAAGTGGACACTGGTGAAGAGATTGATATTAGAATATTGTACACCTAAAAATCATAAACAACTTTGTAATTCATAGTTATTCGATTTAAACGATTGAAAGCAAACATAGTTTTTAAGTAAGAATCTCTGTCAACCCTTTCCGTTCTTCTCCCAAAACAAATGTGCAGCTGCAATACCACCCAGGAGGAGATGTCATTCTGCATATCCCACATGTTCACTTCTATAAGACTATCTCAGTTCTTGTGCAGTGAACTAAAATCTGTAAAGCCTATTTCCTTTAAGTAATTTTTCAAAGAAATTTTCTGTTTGTATATAAAACAATTATAAATACTGTATATTTTATTTTCTATAAATCTTTCTATGAATTTGTTTGCCTATCTTGTTCAGTCTCCCTTTGCAACCCTTCTGCAATTAAAACTTGACCAGTACTATGTACAATAAAAATTAAAAGCTTATTGTGCAGGTTTTCAGACTTTCCATTGAATGCTTAACTTTGCTGTAAGTGTTCTTCTCAGTACTATTAATTATTAATTAACTCATTAATTATCACAAATCTTGTAATCCTTAAATTGAGTTTGAAGATTTTGTACCTGCCTGATACAACATTTGCTATGATTTCAGTTCTTAAATCTATGATCTACCTAAAATAAGATTTTTCTCTAGTTTCCCAAATGTAAAGCCCTCCCCACTGAGAGGTAACATTCAGAAAGTGTGGCTCTGATCCCGGGCTACTTACAGGTCGCTGGTGTGACAAGGGTATGGGATTGCCTGAGCCTGAGTGCCTGGCTCCGTGGCTTCCTGCCCAGTCTGCACCCAAATGATCGCTCTTTCAATCATGTCTTGCAGTGGAACAAAGACGTAGTTATATTTGAATCCATTTGTTGGTAGGCTCTGAGGATGGAACTTCCAATAGGGGTTTTTCACCAAATCTGTTCTCATGCTGTACAACACGCTGGTCCGAATTGTGTAGGTAATGTGGGCTGGCAGCTGGAGAGATTCTGATGTGAAGTTCTTGCCAACAAAGGAATTGTTAAATATGATACCTAATATCAAAAAAGTGGAAGAATTGGTCATCACACTTATGAGGACTTCACTTGCTGTCTGTGAACAGGGATCACCTGGTGTCTGAACTGCCAATGTTTTTGTCTGTGTTCTAGGGAGGCAATGCTGCTTTGCTATGCTAAACAGTACCTCGTGGTGACTTAGAAACAGGGCCTCCTGATCCCCACACAATTATATTTAAAAGAATTTTAATAAAAATCATATAGTCATTTGGCTGGAGAGATTGTACAATGAGCAAGGTCTCACAAGCAACTGACCCAGGTTCAATCTCTGGAACCCCATATGGCGTCCACCAGGAGTGATGCCTGAGAGCAGAACAAGAAGTAAGCCCTGGGCACAGCTGGGTGTGTCCCAAATCTTAAAAAGCTCCAACTCTTAAAAACTAGTAAAATAAAATAATATAGTCTTGCCATTAATACAAAAAAAAAGTGATTTGTCTCATTGTTTAGCAGGTTTTCAAAATAATTACATAAGGCTGCTGAAATAATCATGATTTACTTCTTTGGAATCATTGGAACATTTCTAAGTGTTCTCATCTTTAATGCTATTTGTCACCAAAAAGCAATCATAGCTGTGATTTAAATACACAATGGAATACAATGCAGCTCTAAGAAACAACAAAATAATGTGATTTGCAGCAGCCACATGGGTGGAACTAGAGGACATGCTTAGTGAAATTAGAACAAAAGGGGAAGATACAGAATGAGCTCTATCATATGGGGAACTTAAAGATAAACAGCAAGGTAGCAACAAAGGGCTGAGGGCAACATAAAGTGAGAACTGAGCTATAGAACTAATTGACAGTAGGCAATATTGAAAGAGAGAGGTGTTTGAGTCTCAGGTGGGTACACTAAAAATGGGTGTGGCACTATAATTATTTGCATGAAAATCCATTATTAATAGTAATACAAACTACAGAATCCCAATAAGCATAAATAAAATAAAATGCTATGCACAGAAAAAAACAAGACCATAGCAATTAAAGCAACACCTTTTTATTGTGATGAAACCAACATAAACAATGAAAAAAATTAAAATAAAAAATTAAAAATATGCAATTAGTGTTCTCTTCCATTAAGTATATATATTTAATTACAAAAGGTCTATTATGGGTTGCATTATGTTATTCAAAAATGCAAGCGGACTTATAACTGTAACCGATACTTGTGAATAAAACTCAGAACTTATGAATATTTGGCAAAAAGATACTTAGAGGTAATCAGTGAAGATGTGAGGTAATCAAATTAAAAGTGTTCATTCAGGTGAACTCTTGTATGACTGCTGCCCTTATACAAAAGGATGGTTTGGAAACAGAAATGCACAAAGTAGACAACGAGAATAGACACAGAAAAACGTAGAGATAATAGGTACCAACAGTACAGATGGACCAAACAGAAGCAACTCTGTGGATCCCTGGAATTCTGACTTTAACCACTGTGAGTAAATACGTTAATGTTCTTAAGGCATCAAATTTTATGGTCCTCTGTTATAATAGCACCATCAAACTAGTAAAATAAAATAATTCGATGATATTTAAAACAAATAAAAGAAAAAATTTTAAGAACAAATATCAGAACCAAAAACATTTTGAATAAGTAGGCTATTAATAAATGGAGTTGAATTAGCTATTGTCTTTTCTTCTTCAGTTCCTAGGATGCCAAGATACTATAGTTTTAAAATATGGGATGAGGGGACTAGATAGATAGTGCAGCAGGTAAGACACTTTCCTTACATGCTAGTGGCCAGGGTTTGATCTCTGGCAACTATATGATCCCCTGTGCTTTTTAGGATGCACCCTTAGTGTAGAGTCGGGAATGAGTCCTGAACAAATCTGAGTATGACCCAGAAAACAAAAACAAGGCGTCATAAATTAAATTAATTTTGGTATAATCCAAAATGTAAATTAAATTATGTGAGATTTAACCATGATAGAACTTTGCCACCAGGATAATGAAAATATCTGTAATCATTATGGTATGAGAGCCTCCTTTTTACCAATTAATGAAATGAATTCTGTTTGATTTGAGTTTGTCTGAAAAATAATTTTTTTAAATTTCTAAGCCATATTAATATGTGGTTAGCTAGAAATGTGGCAAAATGGCAATCGATTGGAGTTAATGTCTTTGAACATTTTTTATTGCATACTTACTGGCCAAGAAATTGTTTCTCTGCATGAGTTCATGAGCTTTAGACTCCAGGATGGTGATAGAATCCATTGCTTGGAAACGATTTAATGCCACACAGGAAGAGAGATTAACCAAGATATGGCCTAAGAAATTGATGTGTCCAACATTTGTGTGATTAAACATCCTGTGTAGCATCTCTCCTATGAGAGAATTAAAAAAAGATAACTCGTTTTCTCTTAATACAGTACATATTATCAACACTGTAAAATAAATGTAAACGTGCATTTTAATTTTTTATAAATATATTTTCTCGAGCCTTTACCTTTACCTATAAATATATTATTTAGAATATTTATCCAATATTTAATATAAAATTTTACTGTTACTTTGCTGCATGTAAACTCATCCTTTTATACACATTTTATATAATGCTAATACATGTAAAAATCAGGGATTTGCAGTCCACGAAAACATTAGAGAGTACAAGATGGAAAGAATAAACAAAGGAGAAAGACCTTAAGCAATAGAACATATTCTGTCAGAGTCCAGCAAAACAAAATGTTAATGTTGTAAACTAGAGTAAAGAAGCAGGTATTTTGTGAGAGCCATTAAGTTTGTAATGTGATTTTTGCAAAAACAATCATCAAGAAGTTTTGACATGGATAAAAGCAAGCCCTCTTATAATCTCTATCGCAGATTTGTAAAACTGGAAGTGTAAGGCTAGAGAACCAGGACATGTTTTAAGGTGCTAGTTTCATGGGGTCGACCCAGGTTCCATCCCCACCCACACCTCTGGTCCCTTAAGGATCCCCAGGAGTCATCCCTAAGCAAAAAACCAGGAGTAAAAACTATGCATGGCCTAAATCCAGCATTACTCCCCTCAAAAGAAAAAGCAGCAAATGGAAATATGCTTTAAATTGGCATTTTAGCAAGATTGTGTGATAGTTACTATCTTCCAAGCTTTTCAATGCCTCCCAAAGATAATAATAAAAAGAAAGACTTCAGAGAATTGGTCAAGAAAGATAAAGATCCAGTGAGCAATAATGGCAGCAAAGCAAGAAAATAAATGGTCCAAAAGTAATGTTTAGGTCAAGCTCAATAAACTAGTATTGTTTGTTAAATTCACATACAACAAACACTATAAGAAAATTCCCAACTATATGCTTATAATATCTAATGTTATGACAAAGAGACTAAAGATTTGTAGATTCCTTGAGGAGGTACTTAATAAAGGTCATATTAAACTAGTTTCAAAGCACTGAGATTAAAAAAGTAATTTATACCAGAAAATCCAGGAAGGCTTAGGAGAAGATGCAGCAGTTGTCAGTACAGAGGTAGGAACACATCCTAACTGCACACTTTGAAAAAAATCTTTATTAAGCCATAACTGAATAAAATATAAATATTGTGAGGTTAAAATTGGCAACAACATAAAATCAGAATGATAGCACAGCATGTAAGGTGCTCACTTTGCAAGCAGCTGACCAGGATTCAATTCCCAACACAACATATGGTTTCTCAGGCAATGCCAGGAATAACCATTCTCAGCACATTCCCAGAAGTGAGTCCTGAGCACTGCCAGGTAGAGCCCACAAAAAACAAAAGCAAATTTATTAACTAATTAAAGTTGGAAAACTCAGCCACAGAATTTGAACTTCATTTGTAATAGAAACTCAATAGTTAATCCTGACTTTGAGGAAAGAACTAACTGCAATTGAGAAAAGCAGAAAGAATAATCAAAAACAGAACACAGGGCAGGAGAGATAGTACAGCATATAGGGTTCTTGCCTTGCATGAGATGACATGGGTTTAATCCCCAGCATCTCATAAGGCCCCACGTGCAGCGCAGAGATAGGAGTGTATGAGTATTGCCATGTGTGCAGGCCCCTCAAAAAAAAAAAATCAGAACACAACCAAGGTAGCAGTTTCAGAGGTCTCAGAGTTCATCTATGGTAGATCATTTGGTTTTCTCTACTCACAGTCCCTTGGCAGGGTGTGCATCCATCATCGTACAGAGTCACTAATTTACCTGTGTAAAATGAGTCTCAACTTCTTCATTGTAGAGGAAAGAAACATTCCACTAAATACAGGTGTCTGCAAATACGTAAGTTTCCAAAGAAGCACAAGAAGCTGGCGGCACACTTCAGTTTCTTAAGTAGCTTCTCAAACTTCACTGCATATTCTACCTCAAAAGGAGTTTGCTATTTGCCATTATTACCTTGTTATTTTCAGATTATAGGCTAGCACAATGTACAAATTTAAAAAATTGCATTTCAATCAAGTTGGTGACATTGACTGGGTGTGCAATTTTGGTTTTTATCTCCTGAATAAGAAGACAATAAACAAAAGACTGCCCTATAAGAAGACCTATAAGAATACCTTCCTATAATAAAGTGCTATTGGGACATTCACTTGTTTATTTATTTGGGTTTTGGATCACATCCAGCTGTGCTCAGGGCTCATACTTGGTGGGACACAGAACCATACCTGGTAGCATAGATTTCACCAGGTTGTTCATATGTGAGGCATGTACCCAACCACTGTAGTATTGCTCCATTCCATGGAACATTCACTTCAGAGGCAAGAGAGACTGATAACTCATAAAGTTTAAAATTATGATCAGTGCTTAAGTCTTCCAGTGAAGAGTCCCGGCTCCAGAGTCATATATCTGATTGTGTTAATAAGGGTGAAATTTTATGATATTGATATTTAATGTATGTAAAAAGTGTGAACATTAGCAATTTCATGCATTTTGACTAACAAAATAGAAAGATGATATAATCTAGAATCAAAAGCTTTGGGTTTCTCATTCTGTCACTATCCTATTATTTATAAATTTGTTATTTGTATTCTAAAAATTATGAAAATATTATTGTCTCCCAGGAAGATGTCAAATGGAAAAATAAAAAAAAATGAATCTACTCAAACTAGTGAGCTGAACGCTGATTAACTTTTATTATTGTAATGTATGCACACATAGTCTTGTGGATACATTGATTTCATTCACAATTTGATATTATGAAGATTTTTTAAGTGAGAATGGTTGAACTGGGTCACAGAAGGTGAAACAAACCCATATTTTAATTCATTAAAAAGAAATTCTCCAAACTTGGGCTCACAAGTGAAGGGACGGAGTAAAAAGTGGGCTGATATTTAGAGTGTAGATTCTTTGCACTCAGTGGTATCCAATATTTCAGGCAGGCTATCAACATTAAGTATTTGGGTGACACCATCCAAGATGCATTAGAGGGCCTGCAGGGTTTTTTGGTCTCCTGCCTCCATGACTCCCAATCACTACTCAGGAAGGAAGGAAGGAAGGAAGGAAGGAAGGAAGGAAGGAAGGAAGGAAGGAAGGAAATTTCTGAATGGTTATTGAATTTAATTTTTCTAACTTGAAATAAGAATACCAAATAATGTTTCCACTGTAAGCTTCAACCACAATTGTTTTGGGTCATTTATTTCTTTGTTTTCTATGAAGAATAGAGTGCTAGATTATCCAGGATGCAGCAAACAGAGCATTTCTAATACTGGCCATTATCACTTGCAACATGCACTTTTAAAGTTGCTTAGTAAGTTTGATTAGGTAATTTAAGTGTATAATTCTATATGTTCAATAGAAAAAGAAGTGACTTAGACTCTATACAGTGTGATTTTAATTATCTTTCAAGAACACCATCAAAGTTGATTTCTAAATAATAAAGTCTTTCCCCCAGTCCCAAGAAACTGAGGCTGCACAGTGACTCGAGGGCACTGTTTGTCTCTCAAGGTTGCCAATTCATTCCCCAGGATAAGTAGCTGGGAAAGGAGAGGGGGACAGAGCAGTCTGCTAGCATCCACACTGGCTCTGCCCAGCCCCAGTCCCAGGAAACAGTCTTTGGCATCATCAGGAGCACTGTTTATGTCTCAAGTACACCATGTTGCCCCCTAGGTTAGGAGCACTGTCCTCCCGTTGCTCGAGTGGGCACCAGTAACGTCTCCATGGTGAGACTTGTTACTACTTTTGGCATATCGAATATGCCATGAGAAGCTTGCCAGGCTCTGCTGTGTGGATGGGATACTCTAGGTAGCTTGTTGGGCTCTCTGAGAGGGATGGAGGAATCAAACCCAGGTCAGCCACATGCAAGACAAATGCCCTACCTATTGCTCCAGCTGTGTTAGCCCAGGTTACGAGATCCCACAAAATGGAGGCTAGAGGGGAGCCTGCTAAGCATCCTGGCTGGCATCTACCTGGTCCCCATTTATTCACTTCTTGAGTCAGCAAACAAAGACATCCTAACTCTAGTCACCTAGCCATAGGGAAACACACAAGAAACAGCTCCAGCTACCAAGTCCCACCTAGTAAGCAGCAAAGAACCCCACCCACTTAGGGAGTAAAGTACCCTGAAGACAAAACCAGTATGCAACCTTGTCGATAAGGACTTTAAAGAGGAAGCTTTAAGGATGCTTAAGCAGCTCACAGAAACAAGGAAACAGGCCACCAAAATGACACAAGAGGATATACGAGCCGAAATGAGAAAACCACCAACAGAAATTACAGAACTGAAAACCTGGTAGGCTAAATGAAAAGCTCACTGGAGGGCCTCATCTGCAAAGTAACAGCTAAGGACAGTCAGCCAAGTAAGTGCATAAACGCTCCAGACAACAGAAGATGGGGTAAAAGGTCTCAAAATAAATGGAAAGCTGACAAAAGAACTTGGGTATGCATTTAAGAGGAAAGGCTTAAGAAGCATGAGGGTCTCAGATGGCCAGACAGGTAATCTTGATGAAGAAGCTAAGAAATTTCCAGAGCTGGAGAGTGCATACACTTCAGATCCAGGAGACTTGAAAGGTACCATGTAAAAGAGTTCCAAATAAAAATACTTGGGGGACTCTGGAGCAAACTCAGGGACACTGTTATTGCTCCCAGGTCAGGAATGAACCCCACCTGCAAAGAGGGGAATGTAGCCATCAGCCCGGCTTGGCTCTGCCTAGCCCAGCTAAGGTCACTGAGAACTCAAGAAAGGCCAGGCAGGCATGGTGAGGTGTCAGGGGCATGGCCACACAAGAGATGAATCAAATGACATTCCCACCCATGTGAAAGTGAGAACAGAACCTATAAAATGCAATGAAAACATGGACAAAATCCCTAGCAACACACATGGTCTCCTGACCATCTCCAGGAGTGACCTCTGAGCGTAGAGCCTAAAGTAAGCTAGGTGTGGCTCCAAAATAAATTTTTTTTAAAAATTATAACAAAAAAATAAGATTATTAAATTAAAACTTAAATTTAGGGGCTAGAGAGATAATACATGGAACAGTGCTTGCCTTGCATGCAGCCTACCTGGATTTAATCCCCAGCACCCCTCTGGCAATCCACACAGACTACCAGGAGTGATTCCTGAGGGCTAAGACAAGAGTAGGTCCTGGGCGTTGATGGTGTGGCTCAAAGACAAACAACACAGAATTCTAAAAGAAACAGCCTAAGTATACATTGATAGATGGATTGCTAAAGAACTTATGATATATATGCACCATAGACTACAATTCAATTCTATAAGATAGATAATTCTACAAGCAACAAGATGGATGATTAGGTGTAGTGACATAGGTGAGGAAAAAGAGAAAAAAAATCAAACAACTTGTGATTTAACCATATTTAGAATAATTGAAGGGTTTTTTCCTTTTTTTGAACTTAGAGATCACTCATGACATGGCTGGGAGCATCATATTGAATGCTAGGGATAGAATGCATGAGACCAGTGCCAACTCCCTGCAGTATTGCTCTGGCCCCTTATGTAGCATTTTAAACCAACAATAATTGTTTTACATGTAGTTCAGTTGATTAAAATTATTTGTTAATAACATTTGTATTTAAGTGGCTTTTTAATATTAGACTTTCAAAGGTAGTGAATCCACTATTGTTGATATTTATAAAATGTAAGTATTATGCCTATAAAAAGCTTTGTCTTTTATTTACTCATATATACTAAGTCATGTATAGCATTCTACCAAATTCCTAGAGATCCCAGAGCGCACTTCTACCTTGACAGGACCTTTCTTTAATTCTGTGCTCAGTGAGTTAGGCTCCTGGGAGCATCTTAGCCATTTCCAAACCATGATTTTTTCATAGCTGTGTTTCAAAACATGCTAACTGCTCTGCAGAGTATGATCACATCTTAAGTTTGAAAAAAAATACCATGGGTTCAAAAGATGGTGGCTACACATACTAGGGGAAAAGGGAGCTCAGATAGAGAAGGAACATCAAAAAAGGTGTTGGGAGGATCCTCCCAGGATGGGAGAAGCATGCTAAAAGTAGACTATAGACCAAACATGATTGCCACCCACTGCCTCTTTTGCAAACCACAACACTCAAGAGAGAGAACAAAAGGAAATGCCCTGCCACAGAGGCAGGGTGGGAGGGGGGATGGGGGTGGGAGGGATACTGGGATTCGTGGTGGTGAGAAATGGGCACTGGTGGAGGGATGGGTATTTTATCCTTGTATAATTGAAACCCAAGCACAAAAATTTGTAAGTCTACAACTGTACCTCATGGTATCTCACTAATAAATAAATCACTTAATCACTTAATCACTTAACTTCCCGTTAGTCGTCGATTTGCTCGAGCGGGCGCCAGTAACGTCTCCATTTGTCCCTGTCGCGTGCTAGTGTAGCCCAATGGCATCTCTTCGCTCCGGGAACATGGAGGGCCTCAAACCGATCGTTCATGACCTTGACAAAGAAGTCTGACCATCTGGTAGCTGGGCGGCCACGCGGTCTTTTGACATCCCGTGGAATCCAATCAGTAACAGCTCTAGTCCAACGGTCGTCTTTAAATCTCATTACGTGACCAGCCCATCTGATTTTCGACACCTTGGCAAATGAGACAGCGTCCCTGATCCTTGATCGTCGACGGATGTCAGAACTCCGGATTCGTTCTCTCATTTGAGTGAAACGTGATATTCCAAGCATAGCTCTTTCTATTCTTCTTTGGGAGACCTGAATGGCGTTCTCATCTTGTTTGCGTAGGGCCCAGGTCTCTGAGGCATATGTTAATGCAGGAAGAACAGTGGAATCAAAGAGATGTGCCCGGAGCCGGAGGTTCTTCGTCCTCTTAGCTATTTCTTCGACGTTCTTGAAAGCATTCCAAGCCGCTCTCTTCCTCCTGCGCAGCTCGGGTGCCAGGTCATTTGTCATGTTGACCTCTCGACCTAGGTAGACATAGCTGTTGCATTCGGAGATGGTCGTTCCATTGAGAGCGAATGGGGCGTCAGGAACAAGGCTGTTTCTCATAAACATTGTCTTCGTAAGATTCAGCTGTAGTCCTACCTTTCCACACTCACGGTCAAAGTCGGCCAGCATTTGTGCCGCTTGGCTGATGTTTGGTGTTATTAAAACAATGTCATCAGCAAAGCGGAGGTGGTGTAGTTGCCGACCATCTATCTTCACTCCCATTCCTTCCCATTCCAGTCGTCGCATGATGTTCTCGAGGGTGGCACTGAAGAGTTTTGGTGAAATGGTATCACCCTGCCGCACCCCTCTCTTGACATCAACGATCACTTCTTTGTAGAATGGTGAGATCCTGGTAGTGAATCCGCAATACAGCTCACGGAGGATCCTGATGTATTGGGCTTGAATGCCCTGATTGGCTAGGGCTTCAATGACCGCTTCCGTCTCAACAGAATCAAAGGCCTTCTTTAAATCAATGAACGTTAAGCAGAGCGGCATCTTGAACTCCCGAGAAACCTCAATGAGTTTGGTTATCGTGTGGATATGGTCGATGGTGCTGAATCCTTTGCGGAACCCTGCTTGCTCACATGGTTGTCCTTCATCTAGTGTTCTGCCAATCCTATTCAGGATGACTCGAGTGAACAACTTGTAGATGACAGACAATAGGCAGACCAGGCGATAGTTGCCAATGTCATGGATGTCTCCCTTCTTGAACAGTAGTACGGTCCTGCTGGTTTTCCATTGAGATGGAACCTTGCATTCAGACAGGTAGCGAGTGAAGAGCCGAGCCAGTGTATTGATGAGTACTGACGGCAGGTTCTTCAGGTGTTCAGGTCTGACCTTGTCTGGGCCGGGTGCTGTTTGCTTCTTTACTGACGAAATGGCGTGCCGGATTTCGGAAGGGAGAACGTTGGGAACGACATACCCATCCTGTGGAATTTGGTATGTCGGCAAGTGGACATGGCTATCGAAGAGATTTGAGTAGAAGTCATGGATAATCTTCTCCATTGCCGTTCTGGAGGATGTGATGGATCCATCAGAACGTCGGAGGGCAGTCATCTTGGTCTTATAGTTGGCGAAGGACAGGCGGGCGTTACGAATACTTTTCCCGGCTTCTGCCGCATCTACCAGTACTTCTGCTCTTCTCTCTTTGAGGTCTTCCTTGATCGCATCTCTGCACTGCTTTGCAAGCTCGGACGTTAGCTTGCGGTTGCCTGAGGCATGCGCCAAACCACGCTGGCGAATTAGCTCAAGAGTTTTCGAAGATAGGCGACTTTTTGTGGCTATCTCTCTCTTGGCGTTCCTCGCACATTCATGGAGGTGCTGAACCAGTCGATCGTATTCCTCGTCAATGTTGTCAACAATGGCATCTTCCCATGTTGCCGCAATAGTACCAAAGAGTTCCCAGTTGGTGGTCGTTCTGGGAGTTCTCTTTTTGAACTTTGCAGCCCTTTCTCCCCGCTCTGTGAAGTAGAATTTTGCACGAAGGAGACGGTGGTCCGATCCCGTTCGAAATTTTGGGACAACAGCGACATCAGTCAGGCAAAACCGTCGATTGAATATGATGTGGTCTATTTCGTTGTGGAATCGTCCACCGGGAGACTCCCATGTCCATCGTTTAGATTCTGCCTTCTGGAACTGTGAGTTACCATGAATGGTCTTGGTCGACATGATGAACTCAGACAGTCTCTCACCCTGTTCGTTCCATTCTAGGCCATGGGTTCCGATGTGAAGTTCTTCAGCTGATCTTCTCGGTCCTATCTTGGCATTAAAATTTCTCTAGCTCCATGTAGAACTTGGACAAAATCTCAAGGCCGACCTAGGCTGCCACAACGAAGGAAGACAAAAATGATCGTCTGTACTTTCAATGCACGTACGCTAGCATCAGATGCATCCATCGAGGACCTGATGGTACAAGCGCGAATGATCAAGTACGACATCATTGGTCTGACCGAGACAAGAAGACACGAATCTCACCATGCCGTTTTCGACACTGGAGAAGAATTGTTCCTCGGAACATGCGATAAAAGAGGTGTTGGAGGCGTCGGTGTCCTTATCAACACAAACTTGGCCAAGAGCATTGATTCATTCGAATGCCTAACAACCCGAATCGGACGTTTACATTTGAATAAATATATATATATATATATATATATATATATATATATATATATATATAGTAAAGGTAAAGTCCCTCCCGTTGATCGTTGATTTGCTCGAGCGGGCCCAGTAACGTCTCCATTGGAGACTTTGTTGTTACTGTGTCTGGCATATCGAATACTCTCGGTAGCTTGCCGGGCTCTCCGAGAGGGGCAGAGGAATCAAACTCGAGTCGGCCATGTTGGCCGCGTGTAAGGCGAATGCCCTACGTGGCTAAATATCTATGTCAATTCACAAATTAACAAATTGTATACATACAACAATGTTTACTGAGTGTTTTTTATTATGAACTCCCATTTTGAAATCATTGTAACAGTTATAACCCACAATATGAACTCAACAACAGAAATTTCTCTTTAACATGATATCTAATTACAACTTCTGTATTTGAATTTTTTATTTTTAACTAAGTTCCTTATGATGCTGGGATGTAAATCAGGAAACTACAAGTATTATAGTTTGGATTCTTTTTAGCAGAATCCCTCCATCTTATAATAAGAAAACACAAGAGTGTCTGTGAAATATGTCACCCAGAAACATTATAATCAAGAGATGACTTTATGACAGCCACACAGGTCCTCCCACTTACCTCCCTGCCACTTACCATATGTTTGGAGCTTTTCAGTCAATTTGTCTACATCAATGTTCAACTGACTTTCTATAAAGTTTCTTATAAATTTGTTTCTTAAAACTTTCTAAAGAAAATAATAAAGATAACAAAAATAACTACATAATTTCCTCTAATAACAAATATATTTTCAAAGTTTCATAATATAGAGAAAGAAAAAGCAATTCATATGAAGTGCTATGAGATACTAAAATATAGTAAATTATAAGATACTATTTTATAAGAACATTATATTTCAAAACAAAAGTGATAGATAAGACTGTTATTATTGTAATTACACATTAATGTTAAAAACAGAATGGAATGTGTTGACTTTGGGGTAAAAGTTTTTAATAAAGTCATACACTAACACTTTATATAAAAACCTTTCCTGTTACCTTTTTCATGAATTCTAAAGGCTCATTGCTATAGAAACTTTGAATAAAGTTTTTATTGTTTTCAAACTCTATCTTAATGCTTGAGTATTCAAATTCTCATCATTGGAAATACCTCAAATGATCACCATCTTCTTTTATTATTGATAGCTAACTGTCTTATTTGTTAAAGGGATTACTTTTCAGAGTTCTCCAAAATTATTTTGAACTTAATAAAATGTTATTATTTTGTCAACAGTGTGAAGTTACTTCCACATGCATCATACTGCCAATATATAACTCCAAACCATCCACAAGGAACTGAAAATGATGGGACCAGTACCAGGATTTAAGAATCAGAGTGTCAGGGTGTAGTCTCATGAGAACTATTTCAGCTTACTAGACTATAATTATATCTTATTATATCTCAATTTTATCACACAAAACTTCAACAGTAAATTTTCAAATGAGGTCTTTCTTCTGCATTTATTATTTTATTTCTCCTATTCAACTATGTTATGATCTTTTTCAACTTGTCTAAGGATCACAAAACTTAATTATAAAGTTTGGTATTAACTTTATGTATTAGTTTTTGGGCCACAACCCAACAATGCTCATGTCTTAGAGTGGGCTATAAGGCAAGTAAGTGCCTTACCTGCTATACTATATCTCTGACCCCAGTATTACCATTTTAAAATAAGTTAAATCTTTTGGAATTAGCTACCGCAAACATTGTAATAGGTAGTCTATAAATACCATCTCAGCGATATTTTTTTTCTTTTTTTAATCTTTGTTACTTAGTATTTTTATTTATTTTTTTATTTTTATTAGTGAAGCACCATGAGGTACAGTTGTAGATTTAAAATTTTTTGTGCTTGGGTTTCAGTTATACAATGATTGAGTACCCATCCCTCTACCAGTGCCCATTCTCCACCTCCAGTGCTCCTAGTATCCCTCCCACCCTCCCTACCCCCCAGCCCGCCCCACCCATTCCCTTTTGTTTTCTCTCTCCTTTTGGGTGCTGTGGTTGCAAAAGAGGCATTGAGTGGCAATCATGTTCAGTCTATAGTCTACTTTCAACAATATTTTAAAGAGATCAGCTGTTGTTTTTAATTGACAGAAGAAAGTAGGCCTAGCAACTTCCTCAAGTGGCAGATTTAGGTATCAAATGCCTACCTCTTTCCCAGGTGCCATCTGTGACCAATTCTAGGATGGTCATTTCAATTAAAAATCCCTTGATTTGAATCCTACTTCTAAGAAAAGGCACTAGCACAATGCACAATACTTCATCTTCTAAGAAAAACAATTTTTTGTGTGTAAATATTAGTGTCCTGAATGTCTCACGATTTGAACTTAATAAACACAGTACTCCACTACCAAGAAACTGTCTAATTCTTTGAGGCCATAGCCACTGTTTTAACTTTTAGTATTTTGGATGGGAGATGCATGATGAAAGTAGACTATAGACCAAACATATTGCCACTCAATGCCTCTTTTGCAAACCACAGCACCCAAAAGGAGAAAGAGAACAAAATGGAATGCCCTGCCACAGGGGTGGGGTAGGATGGGGGATTGGCGGGGTGGGAGGGATAACTGGGAGCATTGGAGGTGGATAATGGGCACTGGTGGAGGGATGGGTACTCAGTAATTGTATAACTGAAATTCAAGCACAAAAATATGTAAGTCTACAACTGTACCTCATGGTGTTTCACTAATAAAAATCAACGCATAAATAAATTAAATAAAATAGTAATTGCCAGTTCAGGTCACCATAAGAATGATAATCCCGGGGCTGGAGCAATAGCACAGCAGGCAAGGTGTTTGCTTTGCACGCGGCTGACCCAGATTTGATTTCCAGCATCCCATATGGACCCCTGAGCACCACCAGGAGTAATTCCTGAGTGCATGAGCCAGTAACCCCTGAGCATCGTTGGGTGTGACCCTAAAAGCAAAAAAAATATGATAATCTCAAGGTCTACCAGGAACAAGCTAATATTATTTTTTTACTTCATAGGTATGATACTAAATTCACAGTGAATTTTTATCAACAGCCATAGAGGCAGGTCTTGAATTCAACCCAGTTGATGGGTCTCTGAAATCCTGCTTTGAACAACCTGGAACTAAGCCAAGCAAGAATAAAAATCATGACATATTTTCCAATGATATCAGATTATTCCTAAATTAAAGTCATAAAAATTTCCCCAAAGTCATGTGTGATACATACCTTAAAGTACTGGATACATCACTGTATCTCTGTATCACTATATCACTGTCATCCCATTGATCGTCAATTTACTCGAGTGGGCACCAGCAACGTCTCTGTTCATCCCAACCCTGAGATTTTAGTAGCCTCTCCTTACTCATCTTTACCAATGATTGGAGGCTCTTTCGGGGTCGGGGAAATGAGACCTGTTATAGTTACTGGTTTTGGCATATCAAATATGCCATGGGGAGCTTGCCAGGTTCTCCGATATATATATATACATATATATATATATATATTTGCCTACACACTGAACCCCATCAAACATGGTGTGGTAATATGGAAAACAGGTACGATGTGTCTAATGGCTTCATGGCCGTGCAGTCTGAAATGCAGCCTGGAACGTGGCAGTGGTTGGGTAGTGGAGGTTAGCTGCTGGGGCTGGATCCCTTGAGGTGGAGAAAGCTCTCACCTATCCCCCTCAGGAAGGCCCCCAGTGAAAAAAGCCTGGTGTGGAGTCTGGTGGCATGACCATGGGGGCCTCATTTTATGCTCCCATCTGGGAGAAGCAGCCATGAGTTCTCATTGGACACATAAGAATTGTCTTAAACTGCATCTCAATATGGCTGTTGTTACAGAATATTAGGGGATTATAATTATTTTGTAAAACAGTAAAACAGCTTGAAATATGTAAATCTCCAAAATAATTATTTTAAGATGGGATTTAAAGCAAAAGCACACATTAAGAAAACTGATAATTTTCACAAGAGTAATATATTGCTTGATCCAATCACTTGAAAATTTGCAAAAATGTTTGATACATACCCAACTTATTTCAATATTACTAGTCAATTGGGAAACATATATTATAGAATCTCCTAAAATAACTCATATTTGTGACTCACCTTATCAGAGATTCTTAGTTCCTCAGAGAGAAACTTACTCCCCACTCACCTGCAGTTCATTTAGCATCTGGTCATTTCCACTGCTCTGAAGAACATTTGACGTTTTTAGCAATGTTTCTGATAAAGCCTTCAACTTGTCCACAAAAATGAAAGAATAATTAGCCTGCAAAATAAAGCACAGTTGACTTATTTCCAGTTTATCTATGTTGTGTTAGGAGACTTTAGTGCTGTGGCAGTTACAAGTGAGCATTTCAAGCATTATAGGCCATCAGAGCAAAGATGTGCCCTTGCCACCTTGGGACAAGTGAAGAACTTTGACACTCTTGAACCCGCGAAGAGTTCTTATGCCTTCCCTTCCAGACTCTGCTTCAGATTCGGCTGCAGTTTCTGCTTACTTGTTCACCATCACATCTCAAGTAGCTAATTGTCAGAGATAGCCCTTGCACATACTTTAAACAGAACAATGTACACTGGTAGAGGAATGCGTGTTTGATTATTGTATGACTGAAACTCAAACATGAAAGCTTTGTAACTGTAGCTCATGGTGATTCAACAACAAAAGAAAATGCTTGCCCGTGTTTTCTCTTCTAAAATATGCCTTAGATAAAATAAATATCTAAAATAATATAAATATATGTTATATATATATATATATCGGATAACAATTGATTTGCCTTTTCTCCCTTGCCACAAGGAGCTTATGTTTATCAGGTTGCACCCATCACAGTGCTCCTGAGTAACTCCCATTCCTTTGTTTATCTGTAACCCTTCTCTATGCTCTCTTCCCCAACCAGTTAATCGGCTTTTCCCCTAATCAGAATCTGTTCATTTGTAAGGTCAGATCCTTCTAGGACACTGAACTTGTATTGTAAGTTAATATTGCCTTTCTCCTCTCCTTATGTCTTTTGAATAGTTTACCTTAAAGCAATGTCCTTTTTGTATAGATACAGGAAGACAGTTAATATTATGCTTTGTAACTTAAGATTTAATTGGTTTTGAATATTATTCATCCCCGGGCATCTGCTTTCTCAACTTAAGCCTCAGTTACCCTCACTTCCTAGCGTCCCCAAAGCAGGGTCCCAATGAGGGACTGGATGGAACCAGAGCAAGCAGTAAACTATGTACTACCCTGGCATTGAGATGGGCCAGGCCAAAGTGCCACAATTCTTAACTATAAGTTAAGAGTTTGATCATAGACAAATGCTGTCAAGATCCAAAAGTAACTATGAGACTAGGACCCTGCTAGGGATAGGAAAGACTATCTGGCCTGAGCACTGTAGTCTGAGATTGAAATGGCCCTAGGAAAGCAATTCTATAAGCTTAAGGTATTTCTTACTGTGTCCATACAAAATGATTTATATTATGTATGCTTATATGTTTGTTGGACAAGGAGAGGAGAAACACACCCAGGGGATTCCATTCTAGGGTGAGTTGATATGCTAAATGAGAATCTGTCCTAGAAGCGGCTTTCCCTGAGAGAAAGAACTCTGCTCTATTGATTGTGACCACACTTATATGTAATTGTTACCCCAAGCTGTTAGCTGTACTGAGCTGTCAGGGTGAGCCCATGTAGACTGCACTGCACAACAGGCAGGAACATAGGGACCCATGAAAATGGGTGATATTTCTCATGTGTCCTGACGAGTTTAGATGAGGATGAACATTTCTCCCCTTCAAACTGCCTTCAGTAAATAATTTCAGTATATTATAAGGGGCCTGGAGTGATAGCACAGCGGTAGGGCTAGTAGCCAGACCGGCAGAGCTCTGTTCGATTGTTCCGCCCTTCTTGGAGAGCTTGGCAAACCGAGAGTACTCACCTGCACGACAAAGCCTGGCAAGCTACCTGTGACGTATTCAATATGCCAAACACAGTAACAACAAGTCTCAAAATGAAGACATTACTTGGGTCTGCTTGAGCAAATGGATGAACAATGGGAGGACAGTGACAGTGATATTGTAAGGGGCAGTTTTCCTTTTTTTTTTCTTTTTTTTATTAGTGAAAAACCATGAGGTACAGTTATAGGCTTACAAATGTTGTGCTTGGGTTTCAGTTATACAATGATCAAGTCCCCATCCCTCCACCAGTGCCCGTCATCCATCCCCATGGGTCCCAGCATCCCCCCCACCCTCATCCCCCCCCCTCCATCCTGCCTCTGTGGCAGGGTATTCCCCCTTGTTCTCTCTCTCTTCTTTTGGGTACTGTGTTTTGCAAGAGAGGCTTTGAGTGGCAATCATGTTTGGTCTATCGACTACTTTTAGCATGCTTCTCCCACCCTGGGAGGGCCCTCACAACACCCTTCATTTGGTACTCTCTTCTCTATCTGAGCTTCCTTTTCACCTAGAGCCTGTGGCTGGCCTTCCATTCATGGAGCAAAATTCCTGGTACTAATCTCAGCCATTCCTGTGTGTCACTCTCCCTTTTTGTTGCTTTATGTTCCCCAGATGAATGCAATCTTTCTGTGTCTATCCCGCTCTTTCTGACTCATTTCGCTTAACATGATACTTTCCATGTAGTACCACTTGTATGTAAATTTCATAACTTCATCTTTTCTAACAGCTACATAGTACTCCATTGTGTAAATGTACCAAAGTTTCTTTAACCAGTCATCTGTTCTTGGGCACTCAGGTTTTTTCCAGATTCTGGCTATTGTAAAGAGTGCTGCAATGAACAAACAATTGCAGATGTCACTTCGACTATACCTTTTTGCCTCTCTGGGATATATTCCCAGGAGTGCTATAGCTGGGTCAGTTTTCCTTTTCTCACAGAAACCTGGCTGGTCTTTGACATGCAGATCTCAGGTGCTAGCCAGGCCTTATCTTTGGGATGTAGATTCCAGGCTCTAGCCATACTAGTCTTTGGGATGCAAATCCAAGTGCTTATAGCCCAATAAAGGTTTCAGTTTTGGTTTTGTACCTTCTTTCTGGAGGCCAAAATTATTGGCCTACAGATGTAAAGAAACAATGTATGTCTTGCTGCCTCAATGTTCTTTCTGTAACTCCTTTTGATGACATTACTACACTGCACCCTTTGGAGGTACCATGATCAATAAAAGGAGATTTCAGGGCTCTGGCTGAGAGAATCTGGGGGAACACGGGCCAGAAAGAACCTGGAGGTTATAGGTCTGAGAAAATTTGGGCCCTCCATGACGTAAATGAGACTGTAAGAGTGGGCTGGGGGAGGCAGAAGAAAGACATGAGTGAATAGAGAAAGGGTTGGAATAAACTGCAACTAAGACCAACCAGCCTGGCCCTCGTTTCCTTCCTTCACCTGCCCATCGCCATCGACCTCCCTGGAGTGGGGAAACAGCCTGAAGCTGCCGAACATGGGCGGCGGGAGAGATAGACCACTGCTGTCCTTTTGTGTTTACACAGTATATATATATAACTATACATATAAAAATAGAATATATTTTATTTTTAATTGAATCACCATAAGATACACAATACAAAGCTACTCATCATTGGGCTTCAGTCATAAGATGCTCTAACACTCATCCCTCCCCCAGTGTATATTTCCCATCACCACTGTCCCCAGTTTCCCTCCCACCACCACCTGCCTCCCACCACCCCCACTCCCAAACACACATCTTGCTCTCAGGGATCAACTTTTTTGTTAACTTACCTTTTGAATGACCTTATTAATCTCTGGAGTGTTTGGTGTGTACAATATTTTTCCATGTAATATGGGCTTTAGAAAAGACCATATCAAAGCACCATTTGGAAAATGTAGAATTTCCTGATATAGCTTCAAGCAAAAGGGTGCTGTAAAGATTTTTAAAAATTTTAAAAATATTAAAATTTTGCACAGAATTCTCAAATTAATGGGTGATTCATTTACATAACTATGATGTCTCACATTTTATTTATTTTTGTTTGTTTTCTTTTTGGGTCACATCTGGCAATGCACAGGGGTTACTCCTGGCTCTGCACTCATGAATTACCCCTGGCGGTGCTCAAGGGACCATATGGGATGCTGGGAATCGAACCCGGGTCGGCCGCGTGCAAAGCAAATGCCCTAACTGTTGTGCTATCGCTCCAGTCCTGATGTCTCAATTTTAAATGAATGTTTTATTTTTTTATTTTACAATTTTGATTTTGAACAATAAATTCCAGATTATTTTTGCACTCCTTTACTGGCTCTTGTCTGATAAATTTCAAGATATAATTTGTAAAACTGTCAAGTTTTGCCTTCATATTTTCAAACTAAATTATCCAAAAGAACCAATGACAGAGTGAACTGAAAATAAAAGTGGTGATAACAAAACATATTTATCTGGTTTTAAATATAGAAAATAATTTCATCAGTCAAAATATTGAAACTATAATTAATTTTTACTTATGAAATTAGTTCTATGTATTAAAATTGAATTTTTCTTGTTTCACTGATACATAACTATTGAACTTATTGATTTTGGTAAGTTTAATTTTCATTAATTTATTTTTGTAGCTCTCATCATTGTAGTTAACTTAAATCAAAGGTTAAATTGAAGATTTAGTTGACTAAGTTGTACAAGTTAACAAATACCTGATAATGGGAGAGACTTCATCAACATTATGTTTACCAACAAATATTGTAATATTTTATTGTAATAATAAATACACAAATATAACTAGTTCTTGTGTCATGGTCATTTAAGTTATAATTCCTAATTTAACTTTAATTCAAAATACTTAAGGTGTATAAAATCCTATTGCATTTATTTTAAGTTAATTTTATCTTCACAAAGAGAAATAATGTTTTATTCAACTAGTATAGTAAATTCATCAAAAAGATAAACTAATGCAAATAAGCTAATAGCTTGGCAGCATATTGAATTTTTAAAACAATAATTACAAAGATTGTTTTACTGGTATTTTATCTAATAATATCTAGCCTTCAAATGTTTCTATTCTGCCAAAAATATATTTTGTTATCCAAATTATCTATCAGCTGATGAATGGCTGGTATTGTCTTAAGATAGAGGTGAGGGCTATGTGAAGTGCCTCAGACCTCCAATTTTATGAAATACCATTCTTTTTCCAACCAAAATTTCTGTACATATCAGATATAAAATATATGTATCATGCTGTATTTGAATTTGGTATGCAAAATACTAAGGTGTTCTAATCTTTTCCTTTTGTGTACCAGACAGATCCTATGATTATGATGTAAGTCATACTCAAGATTAAGTTGTAGAGCGATGAAAGTTAAGAAATTTTGAAAGTGGAACTTAGATCCTTAAATATTTTACATGAGTTTATCAAGAGAGACTGAGAAATCACACTGTCTGAGAAAGACCAGAGATTCCAGTTAATCACAGAGATGTAGAGATGTCCTGGCTAGCCTTAAAGGCATAGCCCTGCATGGAATCCACAACTGAAAGGAAATGAATTCTACAAAAACTCACCTCAGGTCAAAAACAGCCCTAACCAAATTTTGAGTATAGTGTTTATTTAAAATACTGTGCAGAGGACTCAGCTAACCAGAGCTCAGATACTAAGCTAGAGAAGCTAAGAAATAACAAGGTGGCATCCTAAATCACCAAGTATGTGGTAAGTCATTGTGTAGAACACTAATAATTAACTGTGAACATGAATGACACTGTGATAAGTACAAATATAACTCATTCACACTACTCTTCACAACAACCTTATGAAATGGAATAGTTCCCATGATTGATTGAGACTAATTATTTAGAAAGATAGAATCATATGACCAAGCATGCACAAGTCATTTTTGGGTGATTGAACTGCCTAAACCCAAAAGGCTTCTACCATGTTTGTTCTTTCTCTATAATTATAATTTAAGGTATTCACTTAAATAGCGATCCTAAAGATATATTGTTCCACTGTCATTTGTATCTGAGTTTTCCAAAATGCTGATCAGTAGAAGATCGTGCAGAGTTTGCCTTGGTATATTATAGCAATTTTACAATAACAAGCATGGTACTTCTGGTATCCTTGCCTGGAACCCACATCATTACTAATTATATCTTAGGGATCCCAAAGAGAGGGTGACTTCAGATATGCAAGTTATTTCCCACCTTGTCCTTTGAGTTGCAAAATGCAAAGGGTTAGACTGTTCAAGTGCTAGAAACTAGAAAAGCCAACTGCTATTTCCAGGATTTAGCAATCTTACTAAAAATGAAGAATAAAAGTAAGAAAGTAAAAGTAGAGAATTCTTAACCTGTATGCACCCACCTTCTATATAACATATTTAATGTTAAACAAGGACTAATTATAAATATGAACATCGACATAAATTATGACATATTTTCTTACTTGAATCTTCAGGAATGTTGAACTTTTCTTTGTCATCTTCCAAAAGTTCGTTAACTCTAGGCAAGTCAATAAATGTATTAGTGTTGCTCAAGAAAGACCCCTGGTCCCTGCAAATCATCTTCATCACAGACTGAAATGAACCAAAGGCTGAGCTTCTGGCCTTATTATCCTGTGAAACCTGAAATCACACGCACATAAGAAATTAAATCTGAAAACTCAGCCCCATATAGATCAGCAATACAGTATGCTCAACAAACAAAATGTATAGAATATTTACTGTAGTTTTATTCATTCCTGAAATACTTTTTAAAATCACTGCAGTGATTTTTCTGGTTTGTATACATTTGTAAAAGAGACAAAAACCTCAAACACAGAGAAGATTTATGTTTATAAATTAATCATTTCAGGGCTGGAGCGACAGCACAGTGGGTAAGGCATTTGCCTTACACACAGCCAACATGGCCGACCTGAGTTCGATTCCTCTGCCCCTCTCGGAGAGCCCGGCAAGCTACAGAGAGTATCTCGCCCACACGGCAGAGCCTGGCAAGCTACCCGTGACGTATTCGATATGCCAAACACAGTAACAACAAGTCTCATGATGGAGACGTTACTGGGCCCGCTCAAGCAAATTGATGAACAACGGGAGGACCGTGACTGTGACCGAATCAAAATGATTAAAATCATTTAATAACCTTCATTCTTTGGCCTTTAGGATCATTACAAGATGTTCTCATTACTATATCTTGCTATTGAATACAATATTTAAGTATTATAGAATTAATAAATAAAAAAGGATAGCATGCAAAGTCATTAAATAAGATTATTTTCAGAATGGGCCAAGATCGAACACACACCTGTTGGAAGTTGGACACAGCTAACAAGGAAGTAATTTTCATTGAATGAAGAAATTCAGGAAGGTATTCAAGGATGTGACCAGCTTTTGAAAGCAGGTGGCTGAGGCTGGAAATGAGATCCAACAGAGAATGGAGCATGCTGCTGGCTTCTGGAGGAATCATAGTCTCAAAGGAAACACACAAAAGTAGATAAGCAACATGGTGATTTTCTTATCTTACCAGCATCTTTAAGCAGTGGAAACTTAGTTGTTTGAATTTATTTCCTTTTGAAATTGAGACATACCTCTTTACTCAAATATATATGACTACAGTTTTTATTTCATTTTATTTAGGAGTATAGTAATTTTTATCAAGGAATGTCTTTATTATCCAAATGGAAAGTGCATGTTAAAGAGAACAAGAACTGTCCCAACTACAAACTCAAGCTCCAAGCTCCAAGAAGAGTAAAAAGTAATAGTTATATGTGCTATGCAAATATATATATATGCATATATGTATAAACAGCTACATAGCTTGAGTGCCCAAAGCAGAAATTCAGGAAAAAGGCTCAAAATAAGCTATTATTATATGTAAAATAATTGATGCTTCCTTACTATTTCCCTCTGTCTGTATCATGCACACATAATCCTATCTTTCAAACTTTTTGCACTCTATAGTACAGTATAGCATTAACATAACTTTATATATACTAGAAAAGAAAAAAGTTTGACTCACTTTATACTGATACACACTCCATTGTATCCACTCTATACATGCAAATAAATTTATTATATTCATCATTCGATATGCCAGACACAGTAACAACAAAGTCTCCAATGGAGACGTTACTGGGCCCGCTCGAGCAAATCGACGATCAACGGGAGGGCCTTTACTTTACTTACATAAGAACCCACAACAGCAGTCCTTCAATTTTGTCAAATGACAAAGCAAGCAAACCATACTAATGTTCTCCTTACTTTGTATATGACATTCCGCAGGTTCAAGTTCCGACTCATCAATATGATCAGTGAATACATTTTGGATACAGGCATGTCACACAGTTCTTTGACTGCAAACCAAGATGATTCATCCTTGGGAAACTCCAGCAGGAGGTGAAGAATGTCCCAGTCACATCTTCCAGATAAGGCTGCAGTGAGAGCACTCAAGAGAACCTGTTTTAAAATGTGAGCATTGAACATGAACATACATGGCATTAAAGTTCAGCATAGAACTCCCTCAACACTAATTTCCCTGAAGAACCATTTGCTCAAGTCTCAGGATACATAGAACACAAACCTCTGCTGTAGTTCAATGATTTTGAGTAAACAAAAAGAACCTGTAGCACTGTCCTCCTGTTTTTCATCGATTTGCTCGTGCGGGCCCAGTAACATCTCCATCATGAGACTTGTTGTTACTGTGTTCGGCACATTGAATACATCATGGGTGGCTTCCCAGGCTTTGCCGCGCGGGCGGGATACTCTTGGTAGCTTGCCGGGCTCTCTGAGAGGGGCGGAGGAATCAAACCCGGCTCGGCCAGGCTGGCTGTGCGCAAGGCAAATGCCCTACCACTGTGCTATCACTCCAAATGTTTCTAAAATATTCACAGAATTTTCTCAGTTTTCCTAGGTTGGAAAAGCCACATGTGATTTCTTCTCATAGTAAAACAAGTATCATTTTACTTGGGCTTTCTTTAATGTAGCAACTTATCACATGTATTACGCCAAGTTGTTTTTGATTTTCCAATGTATTCATATAGAAAGGTAGAGAAGCTAAGGATCCCCACCTGTCTTCCCGTGACTGACTGCAGCTCATAATACATCTATAGGCACACATACATGCAAAGAAATATAAGCATACACGCACCTGTACAAATATACAAATGCTATATAAAATACAGATGCACACATAAATCCATACATACAAGCACAGACAAGTGCAAACATGACTATTCACATAATTATAGATATGTATGGACACAAAAACTCATTTGCTCACATGTCCAGACAATTAGATAATTCTTTGAATTTACATTTTTTTCTTAAAACTGAAGCTGACTGGTACCCAGAGTGGTAACACAACAGAGAGTACACTTGGCTTTTACATAACTGACCCAGATTCAATACGTGGCATCCCATATAGTATCCCAAACCCCATAGGGGCCCCTATAACAAGAATCAAGAGTTAGTCCTGAGCACCATCAGGTATGACCCATCAAATAAAATAAACAAAATAAAGATGAAGATGATCCCTAGCAGACCAAGATAATCCACAGATTGGGGAAAATTATTTACCCATATGATAAGGGATATATATATATATATATCAAAGGGTACACACACATATATTATATATACATATATACAATAATATACAAAGCACTGGTAAACTTTACAAGAAAAAACATTCAACCCCATAAAAGAATAAGAAGAATAAATGAGAGAAACTCCTCAAAGAAGAAAAATAAATGGCCAAAAGGCACATGAAAAAAATTCTCTACATAGCTAATCATCATGGAGATAAAAATCAAAATATAATGAGATATCTCACACCACACCCATGATGTATTCGATATGCCAAACACAGTAACAACAAGTCTCATGATAGAGATGTTACTGGGCCCACTCAAGCAAATCGATGAAAAACGGGAGGACCGTGACCATGATCTCACACCACAGAGACTGGCACACATCATAAAGAACAACTAGTGCTGGCATGGATGCAGGGAGAAAGGGATTCTCATTCATTGTTGGTGGGAATGCTAACTGGTCCAGTCTTTTTGGAAAAAAATATGGGCATTCCTCAAAAAACTAAAAAGTGAGCTTTCATATGACCAGCAATACCACATCTGATAATATACACTGGGGGCATAAAAACACAGCAGAAATGCCATCTAAAATTCTATGTTTGTTGCAGCAATATTCACAATAGCCAGAATCTGAAAATAATCTTTGTGCCCAAGAACAAATGACTGGATAAAGAAACTATGGTTCATATACTCAATGGAATACTATGCAGCCACCAGAAGAATGAAATCATGAAATTTGCTTATTTCATGAAAAGCAAGTGGAGAGACATGGAAAGTATCATGCTGAGTGAAGTGAGTCAGAAGGAGAGGGATAGACAGAGAATGATTGTATACATTTGTGGGATACTAATACACATAATAAGAGACTAATATTTAAAGACAGAAGAAACAGGGACCAGGTGAACTGGTCCATTATTGGAAGTTTGCCACAAATGTGTAGAGCAGTTAGAGTCGGGAAGAGAACACTATGACCATGACAGTTGGAAATGATCACTCTGGACAAGAATTGAATGCTCGATAGGTAAAAGAATATACACAATAACCTAATAGCACCTGAACCACAAACTATAATGGCCAAAAGGAGCGGGAGAGATGGGGTGGGGAGAGAGAGGGAAGAAAGTATCTGCTGTAGAGGCTGACTTTGGGTGGGGGTGGAAGGAGGGAGGGAAATTGGGGATATTGATGATGGGAAACTTACACTGGTGAAGGGACAGGTGTTGGAACACTGTATGATTGAAACTCAATCATGAACAACTTTGTAACTGAGATTTAGCAATAAATTTTTTAAAAGAAGTTCCCGGGAGATGTATGTCATTATTAGCAGGCAATCATTTATTAGACATCTTTAAAAACACAAATTGTTTCCAAGGAATATAGCTCAGAGATGTTCTCATTTTGTCAAGCTGATAATTTTAAACTCAGATATGCAGGGAACCATTGAAGGCATCAGAAGGGAGTGTTAACTCTTTGGTTCAGGCTGCTCACACAACAGAAGAGTCACAAACCTCTGTGAGTGACTGAGGAAACCCCTGAAGACTGCAAGGACAGGACTAAGGCAGGGGTGGGTAGGTGACAAAAATATATTAGAAATTAACAAGAGTAAATTCATCTTTAGCTATGCCCTGATATAGCTCTTACTGTGCCATCTCAAAAAGTAATCCCATGTCTCTCAGCCTCAATTACTTCTCAGTTCAATAGCATGATAATAAAACCCCAAAGAACTCAGAGCGAACAAAATTAGAGCAATATTAAAGGCACAGGATTGAGTAGGTATGGGATTGTGAAGTAAGTGCCCAGTATCTACCATTTTCCTTGATAGGAACTTCTGAAAAAAAAATTTGATATATAAAATTAAGGAATAAGATAAGAATTAGATGTGTTTCCTCGGTGAACACTATTAAATTGAAGAAAAAAGAAATGGAAAAAAATAAGACAAACTAATCCCCCCTTTGTTTTCAAGTAATCTGCATTGGCAAGGATAAGACAGCCTTATTCAGAAATTAGTGTGCTGGTATCCATGTGCCCCCTCCTGCTGGCAGACTGGCACCTAGAAAGCTACAATGAACAGTCAGACCCCAAACTGGGCACAGTTACCAAGGATGGAGACAAAATGTTGATGTCCTGCATGGACATCAACCCAATTTCTCGATCTCTCTTCCTTAATTTTTAAAAAGATATTGGCTTTATATATAGTTATTAAAAACTCATAGAAGAATTTTTAATATGTTTTAAAGCAGATGTTTAAAAGGGCCCGTTGGAGGGGAGCGGGTTGAGCTTCCCTCCCCGCCCCAACCAGGGCTCCGGCAGCCGAAGACCTCCAGGACCAGCCACCACCATGCTGAGACCACTCCCCGCGCACATGAAGGTACTGGCAGAGGGACAAAGCCACGCGGGTTCCCGGGCCGAGATCTCCAAGCCTACTCAGATTGGAGTCGAGCATCCTCCACCCAGATCCTCCAAATTCCAGTAGGCGGGGGTCACATCCACCACCTGGCCCCCTGGCGCCGTGTAATCCCATCAACGGCCAAGACTCAGAGACTATAAAATTCAGCTCCCGGAACCGCGTGGCCACGAATGCAGCATCTTATCAGGACATCTTTTATGACATCTTATCATCTCATTCCTACTTTGGACAAACTTGCAGGCTATCGAATGTAGCCTGCCCACAGGGCAGAGTCTGGCAAACTCCCCGTGGCATACTAAATATGCCAAATACCAGTAACAATGATGGGTCTCGTTCTCCTAAAGAGCCTTGAATATAGTCTCAGGGTTAGGATGAAAGAGACATTACTGGGGCCTGCTCGAGGCAATCGACGAATAACAGGATGACGAAATGAAAAAAAAAAGCAGATCTTAGACATGGCCAACAGGTTATAATATCAGTACCTGTAATCAATTTGAGGATAGGTTATCTGTTAGTTCTTGAAGAAAATGGCAATCAGAGAGAGAGAATACAGTATGTAGCACACTTGTATTGCTGGCAGTTGACCAGCTGTCCTGGGTTCAATTTCCAATAGCTCATATGGTCCCCTGAGCCCCACTAAGAGTGATCTCTGATAACAAACCCAGGACTTAGCCCTGGAACCTCTGAAAATAGCAATTATTTTCTATTATAAGTCTGTCAAATGCCATATTGACAGACCCACACTAAAGAGATCATGTTAATGCAAAGTTATTTTCCTTTTAAAGCAAAGTTATTGGGCCAGTGAGTTACCAGGACTTTAGAAGACAGAATAATTGAACTAATTTAAAAGAAATAAATAAGTGGTTGTGATTGTACCTTCCCAGGCCTTGCTTAACTTTCTTAAATGATAACATGGACATTTGACCTCCTGGTGAATGACAAAATTGTGATAGAAATATCACTTTGCAAAGTGAACTCAGGATTAGGACTATCTGAAGGTTAGAATAATTGAGCAGACATACTTTTGAAAACTCCATTTCGAATCCTAAAATATAGGTTTGAAATCTTTACCTAAGTGCAAGTAGTAAAATATTATGACACCAGCAAGCAGAAATTTACTTAGAACTTATTTTTCTAGTGGTGAAAAAGGAACCTTCATCCACTGCTGGTAGGAATGCAGTCTGATCATACTCCTATGGAAAGCAGTATTCAGAGTTACTGGTTAAGTCTGAATTGAGTTTTTATATGACTCAGAAATTCCACTTTGGGGTATCTATCCCAGGACAAAACAACAGTAATTCAAAAATAATGTATGCACCATTATACATTGCAGCACTTATTACAATAGCTAAGATTTGGAATCAACCTAGATGTTTAATGGCAGATAAGTGGATCATGAAGGTGCAGTGTATAAACACAATGAAATACTACACAGTTCTGAAAAATGATGAAATCATGCAATT